TACCCGTATCGTTTATAAAAGCACAGGTAAACCTTTCCCTCCTCCCAAACCAGTTTGGGCCATAGAATGTTTACCAGGTCCTTTCTACCTCACTTCCATTTCTGCTCTGCCCTCCATGGTGGCGTTGGGACTTTGGGGACACACATCCCAGTTCCCCCACTATTCTCAGATCATAGAATTTAGAGTCTCTCCTTCTCTTTTGTCACTGTTTTTTTTTTTTAATTTTTTATGTTTATTTATTTTTGAGAGAGAGAGAGAGAGAGACAGAGTGTGAACATGCAAGGGGCAGAGAGAGAGGGAGATACAGAATGGAAGCAGGCTCCAGGCTCTGAGCTGTCAGCACAAAGCCCGACGCGGGGCTCGAACCCACGAACTGTGAGATCATGACCTGAGCCGAAGTCGGACACTTACCCGATTGAGCCACCCAGGTGCCCTTTGTCACTGGGTTTAACTCAAAAGGTACCGGACACAAGCCTGATCATTTCCAACTCTGCTTTTAACTCACCCCTGTGAATCCTAGTCATGGTGACCTTGGACACTGCCCACAGTTGTGGCATAACTCTTTCCAGACCCCTGAAACACCCATGAGTACAATACTTTTCTTTCTAATATTTCTAGTGCCTCTACCATGAGTCATGAAAGCCTGTTTTATTTATTTTTAAAAAATTTTTTTAACGTTTACTTATTTTTGTGTGTGCGTGTGAGGGAGAGAGACAGAGCACAAGCAAGGGAGGAGCAGAAAGAGAGGGAGACACAGAATCCGAAGCAGGCTCCAGGCTCTGAGCTGTCGGCACAGGACTTGAATTCACAAACTGCAAGATCATGACCTGAGCTGAAGTCAGGTGCTTAACTGCCTGAGCCACCCAGGCACCCCATGACAGTCTGTTTTAAAATTCTGTCGTCATTTCTGCAGTATAGAACCCAGGTGAAGAATACTAACCCTGGTATGTGTCGTATCCTTTGGTGGTGGTGGGGAGCGGGGGCACTGGGAGAAGGCACTATAATAAGCAGGTGCCAGAGGGTGTCGGGGGTGTGCACGGGGAGAAACACATGTGTTACACATTCAAGATAATATCCAGCTGCACCACCGAATACTATACGGCCACTAAGGATAACCCTGAAAATTAAAATGCAGTGTCATTGAATGGTCTTCGAGGCAGACGATGTTAAAAATGTAACATTCACCTTGTGAAACAGTGTGAACACTAAAGGTACATTTTATGCTTTTAAAGTACTTTTTTAGGGGTGCCTGGGTGGCTCAGTCAGTTAAGCATCTGACTCTTGGTTTCGGCTCAGGTCATGATCTCACTCAAGGTTTGTGAGTTCGAGCCCGTGTCGAGGCTGCCAGTGCGGAGCCTGCTTGGGATTTTCTCTCTCCCTCACTCTGCCCCTCCCTCTCCCCCTCTCATGCTCTGCCTCTCTCTCTGTGTCAATAAATAAAGAAACTTAAAAAATATTAAAGTACTTTTTAAAAAAGAATATTCTTTTAAGTAATCTCTACACCCAATGTGGGGCTCAAACCTACAGCCCCGAGATCAAGAGTCCCACACTCCACCGCCTGAGCCAGCCAGGTGCCCCTTAAAGTACTTTTATGAACAGAAACATGTTAGAAATATACACAAGTTGATTATTATCATCTTTAGCTATTGATATTATGGTTCTGCCTTCTCTTTTCTTCCCTATTGTATTTTCTAATTTTATATAAGGAGGATGTATCTCTTTTGGAAACAAACAAAAAACCTTAGTTCTCATTTTCTCAAAGCTGTGGAGGGTAGGAGAGTGATAGGCAGTACCTGGACAGACATGTGAGGTCAAAGGTGGTTTTTGTTTGGAATGGCAGAGATTTGCTCATGTTTATAACCGAAGGGAAGGAGCCCATAGAGAAGGAAAGGCTGAAGACATGGAAAGGAGGAGGTCATTGTTGGGGCAAGGTCTTAGAGGGAAACAGAGGGAACTGAATCCAGCAACAAAAGAAGGATTACCACAATTCTGAACAGGAACACTTCTTCCGTTATGAAAAAAAGACGCACGTGTGTATCTAAACATTTATAGGAAAGCAGAAACGGGCTCCGAGAGGATGGGGAGACCACATAAGAGTTCACTTTCCAGGGAACAATCAGTACTGCTTTCACACATTTGCTTATGCGGAACTCTTTTCATGCTCCCCTCCGCCCACTACCCTCCAGACCCATCTCCAACCCACCTATGTACGGAGCCCCTGCACTGTCTCCAGTGAGGCCCGCCTGCCCCTGGATGATTACATCCCAGAATCTTCTGGGAGCCTGTCAAAAATACATGCTCCCAGGATCCCATGCCTGGAGTGTCTAATTCTATAGTTCAGACTAGCTCTTCCTCAACTTTGACACGCACACAGAGAGCCCCAGGAGCTTACTGAAAACGCAGATTCTGATTCAGTGGGTCTAGGATGGGGCTGGAAGCTGTACATTTCCAACAAGTTTCCAGCCAACGCCAAGGCTGAGACCACGCTAAGAAGCAAGGGGCTAGAGTAGGGCTACGAAAGCTGTATTTTATTTTCCAAACAATTTCAATGCAACCAGTCCAGGAACGCTTCACTGATAGACATTTAGGAACTACCACTCACCACTCTGCTGGCTGTTAGCATCTGCTCTCCAGTTTGCTTGTTTGTTTTTTATAATGTTCATTCATTTATTTATTTTGCGAGGGAGAGAGAGTGTGCAAGCGAGGGAGGGGCAGAGAGAGAGGGACAGAGAGAATCCCAAGCAGACTCCATATTCAGTGCAGAGCCTGACGTGGGGCTCGATCCCACGAACCGTGAGATCATGACTGAGTTGAAATGAAGAGCCAGATGCTTAACCGACTGAGCCACCCAGGCGCTCCTGCTGTCCTATTTTATCGCAGTTATTTATTTTTGTATATGCTTGGCTTGTATCTTAGATTTCACTAAACCGCACTTAGATCACTAAACCGCAAAATCAGTAGAAGGAACAGTGACATTTAATTCCCCTTTGCACCCCTCCATTTAGTAGAGTGTCCTACAGAATGGACACCCAGTAATGTGTATTAAAGAAAGAGAATGAATGGTGTCGCCGCTTTAATCCTGACATATCATAAAAAAGTGATTCCGAAGTTGCTGCTGTAATAAATGCACAGTGAGAAGGAAGAACGATCTCCATTTTTGAGATTTCGTCTGAATGTTAACATATACAGTTTCCATGAAGTATGGCGGGATACACACTGAAATCCACTGCTGGTCGTCACTGGTGATGCCTCCCCATTTCTCTGCTATATTTATTATTCATCTGGCCTTGGGTTTGCTTTAATTACCAGGTGTCTTGTTTCCTCTCTGCTCACACCTGATTTCAGGATGTGGCGGTCAAATGCCCTCCTTTCAAGCTCCCTACATCACACTGTACCCTGTTTTGAACACCTGAAGTATATAAAATCTAAGGTTAACATGGATTTTATGTTGTCCTTTGGGGCAGGAAAATATAAAACCCGAGCTCCAGGAACGGCTTACTTCCTGTTTTTATTGGTCATAAAGGTTTCATAGTGGGAGCAGGTGGCAGAGGCACACAGAATGAACTAACTCTTGGCAAGTCTCTTGCCTAGATGGGAAGGCAACTGCCCTTTCCATACCGAAACCCTATTAGAACACCTGCACAGAAGATCCACTCCGGTCCCCAGCCCCATTTGAAGTGTGCAACTCAATGATCTTTAGTAAATGTACCCAACTGAAGATCAGTCGCTATCATCCTAATTTATTTATTTTTTTTTAATTTTTTTTTTTCAACATTTATTTTTGGGACAGAGAGAGACAGAGCATGAACAGGGGAGGGGCAGAGAGAGAGAGGGAGACACAGAATCGGAAACAGGCTCCAGGCTCTGAGCCGTCAGCCCAGAGCCCGACGCGGGGCTCGAACTCACGGACCGCGAGATCGTGACCTGAGCTGAAGTCGGACGCCTAACCGACTGCGCCACCCAGGCGCCCCCACTATCATCCTAATTTAGAACATTTCTATCACCCCAGTGAGATCCCCCTGCCCCTTTACAGTTAATCCTTGTTTCTGCCCCAGCCCCAAGTAACCACTTGTTTTCATGTCTCTGTATGTTTGTATTTTCTGGATATTTCACGTACGTGGAGTTATACCGCGTGTGGTCTTTCATGTCTGGCTTATTTCACTTAGCATGATGCTTTCAAGGTTCATCCACGCTGTGGCCTGTATTTTCTCTTATTATCGCCAAACTGTATTCCACGATATGGGAACATCATAGTCTATTTATTCTTTCACTGGTTAATGAACATTTGAGTGGTTTCCAGTTTTTGCCTGTCGTGAATAATGTTGCTGTGAACATACATGCACATGCTTTTTGTGTGGCCGAAAGTTCTCATTTCTATTGGGTCGAAACCTAGGAGTGGAAATTCTAGCTTCTATGAGAAAGTTATGTTGAACTTCTTAAGAAACTGTCAAACTCTTTTCCAAAGGGCTGAACCATTTTACATTTCCAGCAGTGACATGTGAGATTTCCTGATTCTCTATGTTTACTCTTGTCTGGTTTTTTTATTTTTATTTTTATTTTTATTATCACCATCTTATAGGTGTGAAAGAGTATCTCACTATGACTTAAACTTGCATTTCCCCACTGACTAATGATATCGAGAATCTTTTCACGTGCTTAGTACCCCTTCATATATTTTCTTGGTGCACCGTTTCAGTTGATTTGGTGTCTTATTAAGGTAAACATGGGCTTAAGGCTTCTTTCTCCACACTGGCCTCACTTACGCAAGTCATGACCGTGGAAAACTCTCAAAGACCAAGCACCCTGCAGACAGACAAGGACTTAATAATAGTAGATAAAGCAATAGATACATTTTTAGGAAATTCAAGCTTCATTTTACAGTGTATAATAAAAATGCTTCACTGCCCTGAAAGTTTTCCATTAATTAAGTTGCAACTAACACAGTTCATTTTTTTTTTTTTACTTTCTTTGCCCCCCCCCCCACCCCCGCCTCAAATCAGTCAGTATTGCTGTAAACCTAAACCTCACGGAAGGCTATTATAGCATCGGGAACAGATGGTGAAGATTTCCATAAAACAGAAAGGGAAACAGACTTGTCTGAAGTGAGGTAAGTAAACACAGAGCGCATGAATGGTGAGAACTGAAATTGAGTGTTAAGTACAAATTAAAAATAGAAAGCATCACTGCAAAACTTGTTTGGGGAAAAAAAACATGATCTTTTTAGAATATGGCTATTAAAAAGCATGCATGAGCCCCGCATTATTTCTATTTATCTTTGGAACACAGCCATAGCAATTACTGGGGACATTAAGGAAAACATTCGCCAGCAGCAAAACAGAATAGAAGAGACCATCTAGATAATTTAGTAACAATTTCAAATTTTATGGGGGAATGCCTTTTGTTTTGTCAATATGAAAATTAGGAAAAAAAACATGTTTACATGAATCAACTAAGGAGATAATTATTCTCTTCTCCAATTCCCTTTCGATGTGTGTTCACAATTGCTAAAAGGAAGCCAGACAATGGCCACCTCTTTGTGTTTCTTCTATTAATAGAAAGGATGGATGGAAAAATCAGCATCGTTGCCTCTCCTGTAGGTTACCATCGTCGGGTTGAGCCAGAAGACTCCGGTTCTGTTTGTTGCTAATTGTTGTGGCTTTTGTCCTGTATTTGTTTTTCTCACTTAATATCCATATTTTGAAGGAAATAAAAAAAAGACTTAAGATTTATTCAAACTCCCATTTCCTCTTCACAAAATAGAATAGGGGGGAGAACTTGAACTCTTTTCTGGAAGATGGAAGGAAACTGTTGCGTGTTTTGTTTTTTTTTTTTTATCTTTGGGGTCACGCGTTGTTTTCGCCACAGAACTTCAAAGTGTCGCCCCCTGTGTGGATGTTCTTAATCGCTCACAATGAATATGACGTAGAAGAAAAGGCAGGAGGAAGCATACATGTTGAATTTACTCACAATTGTGTCTGCAAAGTAGAACAGGGTCTCATATACTGTCTATACAGTAGGCAATGCATAAAGATTTGTCGGCTGATTATATGACTAAATGAGAGACAGTTGAAGATAAATTATTCTTAAAAAACTTGACTAAGTTAGCTCTTCGACCAGATGGACAGTGTTTAATATTTAAAAATAAATCATTGGGAGAGAAAAAGAGAACAGTACATCCCAAATTCTGAACATTTAACTAGAAGACATACAAAATCCCTTCAATGTAACCGATCTCTGTGCTATGATTTAAGGCCTTTCATGTTCCCAGACAACTGTCAATTAGACAGCAGTTTTTATGGGGCATCTGGGTGGCTCAGTCGGTTAAGTGTCTGACCTCGGCTCAGGTCACAATCTCGGGGTTCGTGGGTTTGAGCCCCACCTCGGCCTCTGTGCTGAAAGCTCAGAGCCTGGAACCTACTTTGGATTCTGTGTCTCCCTCTCTCTCTTTCCCTCCCCCACTTGCCCTCTATCTCCTTCTCAACAATAAATAAACAGCAAAAAATAAATTTTAGACAGAAGTTTTGTACACATCTTGCACATCTCGCCTCCGATCCCCAGCCTTATCTCTACACACACTGGAGAAAATATGGTGCTTTATAGCAGCCGACGTACAATAAGGAGTAGACAACATGCAGAGGAAAAGCAACGGACAACTGGCAATGTGTCTGTGTCTTCCAAGAATCATATCCCCTTTCCCCAAATCCATCCCTGTCTGCAAAGCAATTATTGGTATACACAGTACGTTACATAAGATACAATTATAAGTTATATGCGTATAATTATATACATATAATTAAATAGAATTATAAAACTTTATAGATTATTTTGGCCCACTGTCAAATAATAGCTAACAAGGATACAAATGAATCTTTAAGTGATTCAGAGCTAACAACATGCCCAGTATTCTGTGAAATTAGATTTCCTAAAGCTCTGATCATCTAGTCAGCTACGAATATTCATGTGGTAGCCATTCGTAGATGACCAATATTTAATTGTGTTAAGAGTGAGAAGAAGTAGCGATTCATTCTAGTTCCAGGAGAAAATAATTTTTCTACATATCAGTTTGACCTTGAATTCATATCAAGACTTTTCTGTAGTACCTGGCAAGACTTTTCTGTAATTATTTAATTAGGTCAGTGTTAAGGACAAGCACATGATTGATGTCAGAAATGAAAATATTTCTTTTTAAGTATAATAAGGGGCACCTGGGTGGCTCAGTGGTTAAGTGCCCGACTTGGGCTCAGGTCATGATCTCGTGGTCCCTGAGTTCAAGCCCCGCATCAGGCTCTGTGCTGACAGCTCAGAGCCTACAGCCTGCTTCAGATTCTGGGTCTCCCTCTTTCTCAGTCCCTCCCCCACTCATGCTATCTCTCTCTGTCTCTCAGAAGTAAATAAGTATTTACAAATTTTTATTTTTTTTCAACGTTTTTATTTATTTTTTTGGGGGGACAGAGAGAGACAGAGCATGAACGGGGGAGGGGCAGAGAGAGAGAGGGAGACACAGAATCGGAAACAGGCTCCAGGCTCTGAGCCATCAGCCCAGAGCCTGACACGGGGCTCGAACTCACGGACCGCGAGATCGTGACCTGGCTGAAGTCGGACGCTTAACCGACTGCGCCACCCAGGCGCCCCAGTATTTACAAATTTTTAAATAAAAATATAATAAAGGGGTAATAGCAAGAATTTTAGAGTTTCTTTTTTAATCACCAAGTGATTGTCCCTTGGACAATCACAGGTTTTATAGAATAACGATACATGTCACATGTAGACAGCATTACAGTGTTGTCTCCTATTATTATTTGTGGGCTTTCCAATGCAAAAGGTACTTTCATATATATCATCTCACAGAATAATATATACCTTCCCGTATAATTATGAGAGTTATTATACTCATACTCTCATATTTATATGAGAGTACAATATATTTATATCTATACTTATAACTTTTTAATGACTTATATGAGAGTATAATATATTTATATATTATACAATACAAATACAATATATTTATATTTCTAAACTCTCATAATTATACATCATATAATTATTATTAGTTGTGAGGTCTCCATTGTACTCCAACTACTTTAGTATACATGATCTCACAGAATAACATATACCTCGCTGTGTCATGATGAGACCGATTGTACCCACTTACAGATTACAGAATTTAGACATGGCTCAATCAGGCAAGAAAATACTGCTAGTAAGTCAGGGAGCAAAGGTTTAAACCCTGTTTGACTGGATTCTGGACGCCACACACTTTTGAGATATATCTTTTAGTTTCACAGGTAGGAGGGTCCTTAAGAAGACACTTTAGATGAACAATTCAATACTAATCAGTCATGTTGTGGGAAACGTTTACATGAAACAAATTACATCTCTAAGAAGTGCAATTGAAGAAACATTTCTTGCAGATGTGCCTTTTCGTGAAAACCCCTTAGCTGTTAACAGAAGGTTTTGAGACCAAAAACCAAGAGAGAAAGACAGTGAGACTTTAATATTTTCATGTCCCAGACCAAACGTGCCAATTCCTTTGTTTATATCAGCATATTGTTCTCCTCTCATAATATGTAAATAAAAAGGGGACTGGCAGGCATATAGGAAATAGGGATGACTCATTTAGTCTTGAACCTCAGACATGCTATAAAGACCTTGAAATTCCAAATAGTTCAGTTCATTTATTTTTGCCTTCTTGGAGGCCACGTTCTTGGCCACACCACTCTCACCTGTGAGTGAGAACTAACTTTGTGAGTGAGAATTATGTGAGCTGTGAGACCAAACTAACTTTCTCGGATAGATGTTATCGTCACCATAACCTGGAAGGTTCAATTCCAGACACTTATTTTAGATATCCGCCCTCCCCCACCCCCCCGGGGCAGTCAACAAAGAAAGTGAGGACGGCACAGCAAGGGCTGGGAACAGCTTGAAGAGTGAGACATTGGCTTTAAGACATGAGTCTCTGCTATAGCTTGGAATATAAGGTAAAGTCCATCCAAGAATTTTCAGGTAAAAGAATCCACTTCACCCTTGAGCCAAGGAACACACAGTTGGCAGTGGGGCAGAGTAGGATGGGGCAGAGACTTTTTGGCCAAACAGCCCTAACCTGGGATCCCAGTTCTCCTACCTTGTGACTGGTTAATTAATCTGAGCAAGATCCCAGAAAGTAACTGTAAATATCAGACAGAAATATTCTTGGTGCAGTAGCTGTCATATTATCAACAAACGTATTTTCAACAGGAAAGGGGTCCTTTTCCTTTCTATGTAAAAACCAGATATAAAATAAAACTTCAAGTATGATATATTTGAAAAGGAAAGGGAAAGGAGACAAGGAAAGAAGAATAGAAGAGACAGTTGCTATAGCATGGAAGTTGGTGTCTCAGGGATCTCATGCTTATCTACATACTGTAAACATTTGGACTGAAATCCAGGGGTCTTATCAAAGCCAACAGAGCCACATGGTCTGGTCTCTGCTGCTACCTTACTTCATTTTCTACCACTCATCCTCACTGTCGGAGTCCCTTGCCTTCTCTGCGGAGAGGATATCCCTTCGGACAGCAAGTTCAGGGACTTCTCTATCCAGAAAACTCTGCTTTCACTTATCCACATGGCCTCTCTCTGACTAAATCTACATCGGCCCTCTGATTGCAGAATGTCTCTTGAGGACAACTTTCCTGATCACCCATTTATTTATTTTTTTAATATGAAATTTATTGTCAAATTGGTTTTTCCATACAACGTCCAGTGCTCATCCCAACAGGTGCCCTCCTCAACGCCCATCACCCAAAAGTCAAAATCTCTGACCTCACTGGCGGTCCTTGTCTTCTCGTTGCAGGTTTTCAAAAGCATTTATAATGGCCTGGTGTTATATTTTTATATCATATGTTTATTTGTTCGCTTGTTTATTATCTGTTTCCACCCCAGCCCCTCCACGTTACCCTAATAGGCAAACACTGAACAAGAGCACTGTTTTGTTCCATTCTGCATCTCTAGACCTGAGCACAAAGCCTTGCACATAGTAGACACTCGATACATATTTGTTCAGTGAATGAACAAATACCCACCTCTTCACTTCAGACTCAAAGCTAGCAAGCGTGTGCATTTCATCAAGACTACACAATACACTATAATGACATATAAGTGAATTCCACACATGTAATCCATATTGAAACACTACCTTGAAAGTGACTTCATGTAAACATAAGGGAATACAGTGACTTTTACTTGGCCATGGGATCCTGTCACAAAACTGACATTGTGTTTTCCATGTTGAAGGCCTTCCTGTGTGGTCACCAGCTTCTATGTTATCAGCCCACAGGAGTCTACACCTTTTTCCTTTGAGTCACTTCCTATAAGCTGCCTACTTGATTACGGTAATTAAAGAAAATGTCTTCCTATGTGAACTAAGGTGAGAAAGAACAATCAAAAGCAGTAAAATGGTGAGAACATTTCTTTGAGCAAAAGCAATTTCCCCTTTGAAAGAGCTCACCTATTATGATCTTTGTGGAGGCATCTATTTTCAGTCTATTACTTCTCCATGATGATGAAGAAATTCATCTCAGGGAACTAAAATACCAGGATAAGTCATAATGACCATGATTTGTGGTCTTTGACAATCAAAATGCATAAGATATAATGTCATCAGGATAAACTCAGAATAGTAACTTCCAAGGAACTAGTAAGTTTCTTTAGGAGGAAGATGGTTCTCCTCCCCATTTATTGCATTATATTAGCAGCACAAACTATGAATAGATTTCCCAAGGTTCCTAAATCTATTTCTTGGCGGGACTTAGCTTATAATCTCCTGAGGACCCTACATCCAGAAATGTATATAATTTCCAAACGGTTCTATTTTCTCAGAATTATGTTCAGTCATTCCACACACATTTTGAGCCTTTTTTATGTGTATGCCACTGCATGTTGTGAAGTTGTAATTCTAGTGGAATAAGCGATTTTTAAATTTTTTTTCATGTTTATTTATTTTTTTGAGACAGAGAGAGAGACACACACAAGCCTGAGCAGAGGAGAGGCAGAGACAGAGGGAGACACAGAATCCAAAGTAGGCTCCAGGCTCTGAGCTATCAGCACAGAGCCCGACGTGGGGCTCAAACCCAGAAGCCGTGAGATCATGACCTGAGCTGAAGTTGGACACTCAACCAACTGAGCCACCCAAGTGCCCCATTTTTTAAAAAAAAAAATTTTTCATGTTTATTTACGACTTTTGAGAGCCTATGACAAGCAAAGCACCATGTCAAGTGCAACTGGAGAAACAAATATGATTGAGTCATGGTCTGCCACTGCAAAAAGTACCCAACATAAGTTGCCTGGACTGTCAGGGAATTTGTCCTCTAGAGAGGGAGGACAAGGAGGTGATAAAAGTCAGTGAATGTCCCAGAGAAAAGGGCTAGAAAACTAGGGAAAGGGGCAGGAGATGGCACTTAAAGATGTGTTGGTAAGTGGTTTATCTTGGTCATCATCCCAATTATCGATTGGAGGGAAAGATTCCTTTTATCCTTTGATCCTACTAAGCTCACATCAGTATATACCATAAATCACTCTAGCTACTATTTCTAGCTAGATAAAAATGTAGTCAGCCATGAAAAACTTGCCTTGCGACACAAATCCATGAGGCTACTTAACAGTAGACACATGTGTGATACATTCATTATGTAAGGGTTTGTATGGGAGGCTAGTGGTCCATATGTTCTCTACTTTTGTGGCCCATCAGTAACAAAAGTGCCTATAAATGAGGTGCACTACTGGACTGTGAAGAGAGCCAATTTTTCCACTTAGTCAAATTGATGTTTTGCTCTTCTCAAAGGGATTAAACTTGAAAGTACCTTGAAAGATAGTGATACTGAAAAATATGTCTCCATCCCCATTTCTTTGTGACAAAAAGGGGAGAGGCACCTTGGTTGCACTCCTTATCTCAGTGAGTCACAAGGAGTATAAAATCTGATTTCTTAGTATCTAATCGCCCTTTAACAGGGGGGAAATCCTAGAATAAGTAGATCAAGCATGCCGTTTTTCATCTGACTTGGTCCATTTGGGATGTTATCCCCAACATACCATAGACTGGGTGGCTTAAACAACAAATGTTAATTTCTCACAGTTCTGGAGGCTGGGAAGTCCAAGATCAAGGCGCTGGCATATTCAGTGTCTAGTAAGAATCCATGTCCTGGTTCATAAAGGGCTATCTTCTCACATAGGGGAAGAAAACAAAAGATGTCTCACAGGTCTTTCTTTCTTTCTTTTTTTTTTTTTTCTTATATAAGGTCACTATTCTCTTTCATGAGGACTCTACTCTCGTGACCTAATCACCTCCCAAAGGCCCTGCCTCCCAATTCCATCAGGTTGGTGATTAAGATTTCAACATATTAATTTAGGTGGGGGATGGGGGTGGGGGGACACTCAAACACGCATTGCATAACATCATCCAAATCTGGATACATTTTAGAATGAGGGGAACACTATTAATCATTACATCTGAAAGACAGGCTTAAATCACGACTATTCCAGCAACCAGGATGATGGTCACCCAAATGATGGGTGAGAGAGGGAATTCTACTTTTGACAATCAAACAAAAGGAGCATCAAATCTAACCTGTCTTTGTCTCTTGGAAGCTAAGCTCTGGAGATATTACCTAGCTCAGCCAATCACAGTCTGTGACCTGCATTTGAACCTTCAGTGGAAAACAGAAGGAAGTGCAGGTAGGAAGTCAGAAAATTTTCAGTGTAATATGGGGATTCCAACGGCAGAGCAGTGAATGTCCAGATACAGTGCAGTTCAGCAAAGCACTAGCCAATGTCCAGGGGTTAAGCACCAATGGCAGCAATAACAAAGGTCAGTTGGTGAACAGTGATATCCTGAAGTCCAGGAAGGACATCTTGGAGGAACTTTTCCTTCCTTGACTTCTGCTTCAGCCTGGTTCTCCAGCTTGAACCTGAGAGATATTACAGATCCACTGAACTATAATTTTCTCCTTAAATTAGCCAGAATTGGTTTGTTCATTTCTGTTTTAACTAAGAACTCTGACCAGAACTAGTAAATATTATTTTCCTTAGACAACAACAATGACGATGACAACGATGTTACTTGGATGATGATCAGCACTTTAACACGAACACCTTAGTTACTAACTAGGGATCACATTCACAACATCATAGCATTCTGTTAAAAAAATCTCTCAGTACCTCTTTTGATTGTTAAATGCTTTCTAAAAATAGCCAAGAATTTTGTAATCCAAATCTTTTCCCTTTCCAGTCTCATGAAAAAATCAATAGGGGCATTCATATAAGTTCTATGAAAAAAGAGCCTGAGATATTTTAAGAAGTCATATACTTCCCAGTTGAAAGAAAATAATCCAGGCTTTTGAGGTCCCTGTCAAATTATTTACCTTCATTTTTAGATGTTGCAGCTGAAGTATTGAAATAAATATTCATTTGAGCGATTACAGATCGTGAATATTAATTGCTCTATACATCAAGTTATAATGGAGATTTATAATTATGGTTAATGGAGTTCAGAATTGCTAGAGGCCTAGAGGAGGGGATAAATGTAAAGAATGCTAGAAATCCAAGGAATATTTGTTGGGATGGAGGTGTATAAAGCATTCACTAAATTTTTCTAATTTAGGAGAACATGAAATGAGAGCACATGGTCCCTTTCTATGAGCTGCAGGTACCTTAATAACAAAGCAAAAGTCACAATCTTATATCCAGAAGCAATTGCCAGAATGCTTCAGTTGGACTAGGAAGAATCAGAACTTATTTCTATTAATTCGATCTATGGACAAATCCATCACCTAATATTGCTGCAGCAAACATGAAGGGAGCTGGAAGAGTATATGAGCAGGCTCTGTTTTTGAGGAGAGTAACACTAAAAAGCCCTGGACTTCATTTTGGACACCTTCAGATGCATCATGATGATTCAGATGACGATTTAGGACCCACATCAACCTTTTGGCTTCTGCCTTGTGAATAGCTACCGAAGATGTGGGATTAAGAGCTGCCAAGCCACAATCCTGGATACATTGCTTACACTGCTGCCATCACATATCATATCCAGCTCAAGGGAGAAAGCCTGGACTATAAGATGAGATTGCTCTGAGATCAGGGGTGGAAGACAAGGATGTAAAGAGCATTTGGAGCCACTTGTTCCTTCCCAACCCATCGCAGCTACATAAATGACATTTGTTCAAGAGCCCGGTGTTAAGAGTGCTGAGTTTTGGGGCGCCTGGATGGCTCAGTCGGTCGAGTGTCCGACTCTTGATTTTGGCTCAGGTCACGATCCCAGGATCGTCGGATTGAGCCCCACATCAGGCTCTGCATTGACTCTCTCTCTCTCTTTCTCTCTCTCTCTCTCTCTCTCCCTCTGCCCATCCCCCCCAACTTGTGCTCACTCTCTTTCTCAAAAATAAATGAATAAATAAATAAATAAGTAAAATAATGAATGAATGAATGAATGAATAAATAAATAAATGAATAAAACCTTTTCAGAGTGCTGAGTTTGGCCCATGAGGGGAGTTAAAGAAAAAGTGGAAGAAATCATTTTCTAACCTATTTGTTCCTCTAGCTAACTTAAACTCCATTTGAAACAGCTAGTTGGTGGTTACCACGTGATCACATACCTTTCTGGACATAACTGATAGTCACAAAATTTAAGTAGTTTAACCCTTTCCTGTCATTTCAATGAGCAAGAGACAAAGGGGTATGGTAGGAAGAATACTGGATTAGAATACAGAGACCTGCACCACTGTCCTTGCTCTGCCTGATCCTGGCCAGGTGGGTTGGGTCACTTTTTCTCTTCTCTTTGCATTAGTGTCCACACTGATAAAACAAAGTGTTTATTTTTCTCAAAATTAGTCCCACTGCTATGTTTTCCTGTATATCCTCTATATGTGTTCTCAAAGATTCTTCCTATATGTTTATTTTTATTGACCTATTTCCACTAGACTATGGCCCCTTGAAATCAGAAATTATGTCTATTTTCTTCCTCCCAGGTATTCAGGAACTCTCACCAAGTACGCAAACGGTACTCAAATTTTATGAAATAAATGAACAGATTAAAGAATGAAAACTATATTCTAAATAGAAACATATATATATATTTTTTCTTTACCTTTAAACGATACTTTATTGATCATTTCCTCTTGTTTAGGTTCTTCCGGAAGCTGACTCTGAGACATGGCTTAGACTTCAAGTAGTTTATCTGGAATGTGATCCCAGGAAAAACAAAGTGCCAAAGTGAAATGCAAGGGCAAGGGGCCACTAACAGAGTGTTATCAAGACAGTTATCACTGTGGGTTATGGAGCTTGATCCAGCTGGGAAGGTATAGAAAGCAGTAGGAAGCATGTACCTAGAATTACCCATCTGAAGAGCAAAGGACCTGGGATATTTGCATACTAATGCTTACCAGTCATTGGTCAAGGGATGAATAGCCTGAGTGACCAAAGAAAGCCTCCTTAAACAGATGAAAGTGCTGGCAGGTGGAAGACAGACCGGCAGGCACCGATATAGGAATGGCCAAGTGGTATACCTCAACAGGGTCTCTACCACAGTCTCAAAACATTCTCTCTCGTATGCCTTCCCATACAGTCCTATTCTAGCAGTTATTTCCCTATATACCATTACCCATTTACTCATCTTTATCCTTCACGGGCCTGTCATCTCCATTAAGGCAAAGAACATGGCTTCTTTAAAACTGTATCCTCAATACCTAGCATAGCATAACTCAATTCTACTTGGAGAATGAATAATGAATCCATAAGAAGGGCATAATACCACCAACTGCAGAAGGCTGTCCAAGAAGCAACTTAGATAATGTACACAAAGGCGTGGTGAGAAGTGTCGAGTGCTATCCCTATCTGATAAGTGTTATATGGGGAACAGTGAATACCATCCCCAAATGAACGATGCACGCTAAGAGACTTTTATCCTTCCACATCTGTGCATCTTATCTGGGAGTAGGTCAAGATTTCACCAAGATGTCAGCATGCTGGAGAAAAAAAAAATGGAGGACAGCAGTGAAGAATTAAGGGAGAGCCTCTGCCTGGTGGGGTCCTCCTGGTTGATAAATATATGAAAATCTGGTACTTGCATAACTATGTCTCCTGGATAACACAAGAGAGTGAACGGGGCCAGAGGTGAACTCGGAGAGAGAGAGAAAAGAACACTTTATCTACGGATACTTCCTTCAAACACCAACTCCTTTCATTTGAAAATAGTGAGAATAAAGTAAAACAGGAGGCCAAGGGAATTGAGGCTCTGATGTTGTTTGGATCCTTAACAAGCTTCTTTATGAAACCAAAGGCCAAAGAACAGGCCAGTGTTTTTCTCAGTGATATGAAAAGAATCATTCCCCAGTTTTTTTGTTTTGTTTTGTTTTGGGTTGGTTTTTTTTTTTTTTTTTTTTTTTGACCACCAAGAGTTGAATTCTTTCCATTTCCCACACCAGAATTAAGAAACCTCTCAAATTCTCATCCCACTCCAAATGAGCTAGAAGCTGATTGCAAATGGTCAGGAGCTGAGAACACTCTGACAGACAGTAAGATTTATAAGTAATAGTCTCCTTTACTAAGACAATGGTTTTTTTTTTTTTTTAACATAGAAATGGAATTTTGCACAGTTTTTGGAGAATCCATAAAGACCAGCTCTATTAGACCATGAACCAGGATCAGCTGGTACTCAGTTCACTGGGGACAACACTCAGTCATAGACACCTTTCTCATGAAACTGCCTGAATTGTACGTGGCACAAATTCAGAGCCACTTCAGCCTTCCTTGACATGAAGCGTTAATCAAGACCATCCATCTTGGGCCAACCTAGCTACTTTCACCATATGGGAATTTCAGGGAGAAGCTAAATCCTCAATCCTTCCTTTTGCTGCCAAAGCAATGTTTTGTTTTTCTCACACACATTTCCACATAGCTCTACCCAGCCCTCAGGATTTCATTACACCTATGGTTATGAAAAGGTCAAGTCCCCAGAGAGCTCAGACCCCAGTTTCATGAAAATGCAATTGCTTTCCTCGTGAAGAACAGTAGAAGGATACCTGGGTGAATCTTAGGCACCTCTCTAGGGAATCTCTCAGATCAACAGGTACCATCCCTAACTAAAGGCAGAAATCTGAATAAATTCCAAACACAACGGTTACCTGAGATAAAAATTCCAGTCTGGCTACGTCACTATACAAATATATGTCATGGATAAAAATTCACTGGGCACATCACCATACAAACGTATGTCATAATTATTGCCAACTTCAATTAATGAGGAATTCTGGAGTGAGAGTATTGGGACAGATATTTAAACTTTACAAAACTAGATAGTTGTCCACGTTGGTACAGCCTACCAGTGGACAACCTAGAATTCAAAGATACGTATTATGTAAGGTCACAGTCTTTCTCCTAGAACAGAGCACTCAATGGTTTTTCTTCATAGAATCTTTAATACAAAGAAGGTTTTAATCGCTCCAAGAGAGTCTGGACCACAAAACCCTTAGCCATTCTCTTCCTACCACGATTTCATCACTCAGCTGGGCAGTCATCTGCCGGTTAAAAAATGGGAAGTTCTATAACCTTGTGTCCTGGGTGTCTGCAAGGAAGCCATTTTGCTACATTGCAAACAAGCAATTGTTTTCCTATGGAAAATGCCGCACAATGAGACCCTGAGCTGATAAAGGGGAACTCACTGAAAGCAAGAACCATTTCAAGTGTTGTGACATGAACAGAGTTAGAAACAGACCTACTCGTATCAAAACTTTATTTTAAAGAACAACAGGATATAAAGGAAGCAAATTCTATTTTCATAGCGATGGTGACACACAAGGTAAGAACAATTCCTATTCTGCTTCCGATCACGTGTGTCTGCCCTGCAAAGGGAGAGGTGGTTAGGTTTGACTTGTTTAGTTTCAAAATTCGCAGAGCTTTTGCTTCGTCTTTTGAGACCAGGAACCATACCCCTAGTTCTCCTTTCTATGCCATTGTTCTTAGTTTCTCCAACTCCAGGTAGACAACGCCTATGTTACAGGAAAGACAACTGGAACCAAACAACACGCCCTAGGTAAATAATGATAAAAACTCCTCTATATCAGGGCAACCTCACAAGACTAAAAGTTGGAATTAGCTAGCCCATTAGGCAAAACGAACCTCAAGTTAGTGTTTCTCTTATTCCACAAGTCTTATGTGAGGTTCATTTCTGTAGTGAGCAGAAATCAAAAAGTGCTATGTCGAACACGTAGCTTCACCCTGACAGATTTGTCATCTCAGCAGGTAAAGATGTCATGAGACAGAAGTCACGTGGTGAGAAATCAGCATGACTGTCCATTGATATTTAGCAGCCTAGGAAAGAATAAAATACTTAGCTCTGAAAAGAAAGTTGCTTGGGCTGTACTGAGACCTGGCAGCCCTCTTCGGTCATACAGTGACCGTGACAGGGCTCAGGATCTCTGGGCTGCCTCACTGGACAGTACAGCTGCTTTGCAATTCTATGTAGATATCTGGGCGTCTCTCACCCCTTCCCCTAACATTCTAAGATCGTATACTCTGAGCTACATTATGAAATCAGATCTGCTGCCGATGAGGACATACCAACCTGAGGTACAAGTGAGGCTGCACATAACTCAGGGGATTGCCAGTTTTAAATTGCTGTCTTATGTGGAGTCTCAAAGTTCCTTTTTTTTTTTTTAATTTTTTTTAACGTTTATTCATTATTGAGAGACAGAGAGAGACAGAGCATGAGGATGGGAGGGGCAGAGAGAGGAGGAGACACAGAATCCGAAGCGGGCTCCAGGCTCCGAGCTGTCAGCACAGAGTGGGGCTCGAACTCACAAACTGAGAGATCGTGACCCGAACTGAAGTCGGATGCTTAACCGACTGAGCCACCCAGGCGCCCCTCGAAGTTTCTTCATAAATGTGTAAGATGTACTTTATTAGATGTAAAGTAAAAAGAAAAAAAAGATACTTTCTCTCACATAATAGAGTATCATTAAACAAGAAAGAGGGGGTGACTGGGTGGCTCATTGATTAAGCATCTGATTCGATCTCAGTTCAGGTCTTGCTCTCAGGATCGTGAGTTCAAGCTCCGTGTTGGGCTCCACACTGGCTGTGAAACCTACTTAAAAAACAACAACAACAACAACAACAACAACAAACAAAAAAACCTGAAAAGCGAAACAGAACAACAAAACAGCAACGACAACAAACAAGAAAAAGTGCCTCAGTCATTTTCTGTAGCTGTATCTCTATCTGCTTACAAATTGAAACTATGATTGAAAGACACAACTCTAAAAGGCTGTGTTGAGGGCTAAGTATTGGCTAAAGGCAATGAAACAACAGACAGAGCTGGAAATCCCTGGGTATTTTTAAATCTGTTCAATTTGGGGTCAAGTGGATATTGAGGACCCGGCTTTCAGAAAAGTGGTTATTTCTGCCAAAAATTACACTTCCTGTCTGGCTTGCTACTATCCTTCTTGGGAGCATTTATGGCAGACTGATCATATTCTGAGTGATTCCCAAATGTTTAGGCTTTTAGTGCGGCATGTAAATTTCTACGACTACCTCTAGTGATGAAAGTATGGTGCCATTTCTATCAGATAAATTCACCACCCTGGTGGCCACATCTTTTATACAGTGACAGTGTTACCCTGACAGGATACACCAAAGACTTATCCTTCAAAATTATGGCAAAACAAAACAAAACAAAACAAAACAAAACAAAACACACTTCAAAATGACCCATAATTATCCATTGTTTTAGATATGAACCAGCTTGGGCAGTGATAAAATGGATTGATCCAGATTGTTCCCTGGATCTTTTCATTGCACAGTTTTTTTAAAAACCTCAGAAGTCAGCCAGTCCAAGTACTTTATTCTACATGTGAGGGAATCAATATCACATAGGTTACCTCCTTGCTCGAGGTCAAAGAGGAAATCTCACCTATGCGTGAGCTACCTTTTATCCACATGGGTTCCATCAAAAGTCAAATATGACATAAGACCCAACTGGAAGAGTGACTACACATGCATTTATATTGCACAGACATACCATTTTTCTCCTTTGGTCCTTCAGTAGAATTTGTCAACATAATATCAGCTACTGTGAGCTTCGTACTAATCCCTCAATTCCCTAATTCAGGGGGAAGAGACTGAAACAATGGTTTCTCAACTCCAAGTTGGAAGTGGATGTGTAGTAAATAAAAACAGAATCTGCAAAATATTAAAGATCAACAGGATACCAAGCCCTCTGGCGTGAATACCTGCAAGCAGCTTCCTAAACTCCATTTTAAGAATCCTAGAGTGGAATGTGAGACTCGAGAGACATGTCTTATGAGGAAATATTGTTCTGGAAGGTGTTAGAAAGAAGCCAAGTTATCAGAAAGCGGTGCCAGAAAGAATCATATCGAAGAAATGGAGGGCTGAATACATTTGCACAAGAGGGAATTTTGTTATCTACAGTAACTACAAGGATCAGCACCCAGCTATTTCAAACCAGCCTATGGCTAATTTTTCTAGGCCAATCATAATTAAATTGTAAAGCACTTAATATTAAAACTTGACAGACAAAACTGATGTGAGGAAATGAATCCGAAGCTTTATGAAAGTCAAAAAAGATCACATTCATCTTGACATCCTTCGGCAACTGGGTCTGTCAGTCAGTCACATGTGATTAGCATCATGCCGTTACAGAAACTTAGAACTGGCAGAAACTCAGAGATTAGTCTGGATGCTTTGAACTTATTCAGTGCAAAGTGACGAGGAAAATGCCATATCTGTCAATGGAGCTGCTGTTGAACAGGGCTTGGGAATTACTGCACTAAGTTAGGGAACAAGGCAACTTTATAAAAGAGAATTAATTATGCCGTGATTCATAGTCACTGGCGGTGCTATAAATACTTTTATGGAAGTGTTTTTCTTTTCCTTTTTCCTTCCCCCTTTTCCAAAAAGGCTGTGTGGATGAACACTGCTTCCAGGACTCACATAATTGCACCTAAAGTCATAGAATGTTACAGCTGGAGGAACGCTGAGAGTTTGCCCAAGATCCTTCCCCAGCATTTTACAGGTGAGGCGTTTGGAGCTCCAGAGAGATTAAGATTTCTGGAGGTCACCGAGTTAGTGTCTGGCAGGATCCGCACTGGACCCTCGGTCTCCCGAATCCCAGAGCAGAAGGCATTCCACCACACCTTGACGTTTTCCAGCACGGGCAAGGGCAGCGCCCTGGACAGGGCACTGTTTCCTACAGTTAGACCTCAGCCCTGGGCCGTATATAGCCAGAGGACCTGAAGAAATTTCTCTTCCCAGAGCTCACTGGTATTTCTGAGCACTACTTTAATGAGAAGGTATTTTTAGCTCTTATTCTGCCAGAAGCATTCTTCTTGCTCATTTTCAGAGCTGCTGGGTTCAAGCTTGGAGGCCAGAATAACTTAGGTTATTTTTTTTTAATTAAAAAATTCAATTCGATAATCCTTTAGCAAATGCTTTTCAATGCATAAGGCATCGAACTGAGTGCTTTGTGGATAGAGACGTGAATAAAAAGGATCTCTGTTTCCAAGTAGCTTACAAGCTATGGCGGAATGGAGAGCCACAGGCTTCATCAAGGAAGGTGATGGTAGGGACATGTTACAAATGACAACAAGTGGGGCACCTGGGTTGGCTCAGCTGATTAACCATCCGACTTCGGCTCGGGTCATGATCTCACAGTTCGTGGGTTCGAGCCCCATGTTTGGCTCTGTGCTGACAGCTTGGAGCCTGCAGCCTGCTTTGGATTCTGTGTCTCCCTCTCTCTCTCTCTCTCTCTCTCTGCCCCTTCCCCACTCATACTCTGTTTCTCTTTTTCTCAAAAATAAATAAACACAGAAAGAAAGAAAGCAGGAAAGAAAGAAAGAAAGAAAGAAAGAAAGAAAGAGAGAGAGAGAGAGAGAAAGAAAGAAAGAAAGAAAGAAAGAAAGAAAGAAAGAAAGAAAGAAATGACAAGACAAAAAAAAACCCACTAGCATCAGACCTCACTAAGAGACTTAGTTTCCAGGGGTTGCTTACTAGTAAGTCCCACTTACCAGTTACGGGACAATGAAAACGTTACTTCTGTGCGTCATGTCCCAATGTATTCTTCTGTAAAATGGGGTAACCAGTCCCTACTCTCTAGGGTTCTCAAGAAGGTTCAATGAATTAATGCATGAAAAGCACTTGCCGGGATGCATGGTAAAAAAACGCAATGATTGGTTATTATTGATATTATTATTTGCCTACAACTAGAACGAAACATTTCTCACCCATAGCCACCTTAATGCTCTGCCCTGAAGGGTCACCCCATGCTCCTCGATTTAGAAGGCCTGGATTAGAAAGAAGGTTACCAACCACCCCTGTCAAGAGTTGCCTGAGGAGACATGACTAAATGTAATATGGTGTCCTGATGGGATCCTGGAACAGTAAAGGACATTAGGAGAAAGGGAAAAAAAAAAAAACATTTAAATGAAGTATAAACTTTAGTTAATAAAAAAGTGTCGTTTTGTTTCATTAATTGTGACAAATGTAATAACTGTGACCAATGTTAATAATAGGGATGACTGGGCGTGTGGTATCCAAGAATCATCCATACTACAGTCATAATTTTCCTGTAAGTCTAAGATTATTCTAAAAAAAAAGTTAATTTAAAAAAAAAAAAGATGTAACTTTTGACAGAGAAAGAATTGTTCCTGGACAGACTTATATTATCTTCACTAATTTGTTGGTGTGGCGTATGCTTACCAAAGGAAACATTCTGGAGTACTCTTTAAACCATTCTTTATTAAATGAGGGGCATTTAACATGGAGAAAAACACATAAAAAATATTTTTAACCATATCTCATTGCAGCAAACTATTTGAGTACTCCCTTTATACTTTTTTTCAGAAGATTCTTTTATTTCACTGCTCTTAATTACATCCAGTTGCATTGGCCCTATCAAGTTGCTTTTAATAGCAACTTCTAGTAAACAGAGCTGCAGAGAAAAATCTTGGTCGGTACAGGTCACTAGGATAGGGGTGGAAGTCATAGGTATGGGATGCTTGTGTGCCCGGGTTGTAGAAACTCATGGGGGCCAGTGACTGGGGGGTGTGGGGGTAGAGGGAAAGGGGGAGCAGAAAATACATCTCAACTCTGTTAGATCAATGGTTCTCAACTGGGGGCAACTGCCTATCCCCTGGAGGTTTCTGGAAATGTCTGAAGACATTTCCTATTGTCTCAACTTGGGGATGACCAGGGGATGGGGTGCTACTGGAATCCAGTGGATAGAGGCTAGAGATACTGCTAAACATCCTTCAGTACACAGAGCAGCCCTTCCTCCAACAAAGAACTCACATCTCACCCCAAATGGGAGGAGGGCCAAGCTTTAAAAAGTCTGCATTAGATAGAAGAGGGAAAAGAATTTTTCCTTCCATTTCTTATTCCCCAAGACGACTAACAATGATCTGAATTGATAACATTCTTATATTGTTTTGAATTCTACTAAAGGAGAGCTACTAACCCACTGCTCTTACTAACCCGTCACGAGGGAACATGCACGTAGACGTGCTTGTGAGGTCCCCTTGGGCTGGACCTCACGTCCTCCTGGCCCATCTTTTGCTAAGATGGTGCCACAGCAACAGCTGGTAGCTGCCAACCGTGTGATCTGATAGCCTCTTGCTGCAGCTCCCATGAGCGTCTCTCCCTTTCTGCCCCAGGGCCTCTCTGACACCCACGCGGTGGAATAATTACAAGAACCTTTGGGTGCTCCTCTGTGTGCATCCTGGCGGCTCTGAGGAATTACTGTCCCGTGGGTTGGAGGATGGAAATTCAGGAGGATGGAAACGAGTCAATAAAAGTCCTCATCTTCCTTCTTTCCGATGGATAATTCGAAATCCCATTAAACCCAGTTCTTCAGAGGAGCCCCGCAGGGACAGGCAATCAAACTATCTCCTCAGTGGAGACCAGCGTGATAGCTCCCATTAACTGTGTCCCCTGCCATCCTTGAGGTATTTCCTCCAGTCCTCCAACCCTCCTGCTTGAGATTTCTTCTCAAAATAATCGACCCACACACAGCCCTGGCCTCGGGCTTTTCTTTCTGAGGAACCTATATTAACAACTTGCTTCTAAAGATCTTTGTCAAAGATTTGCCTCTTGAGTACTATATATGCATTAGCCTGGGCCTCCCAGAGTCTCTCAGCCCTAATTTCATGTAATTATGATAATCATAAATACGAACAGACACCAAAGCAGTGATTGATGGTAGCCTTCCTCACAGAAAAGGAAACTGATGTTCGGAGAGATTGAAACCTGGAGAAACTCCTTCTGGAAAGCAAGGATGTGACCCCAGTCAACCTGAGCTCAAAGTGCCCACCACGCGCCATGGCTCTAAGTTTGCCTAGAGGCAGTGCAACGTCCAGGTACAATGTTTGAGAACAAAACATTTTATTCTGAAAACCACCTTGTTATGGTTTCCTAGCCCACTGAACTTGTCATGAATGGCATACCATGTTTCATAGGGCAAGATACTGAAGCCTGTGTCGAAATTGCGAGTCTGACTCACTCACAGGTAGTTAACTATTGATAACGACTACACTGTCTGCAGTAGTTGTAGGGCACCGAAGTGGGTCTAAGCGAGAAGAAGACAATATAGAGAAAACCGTGTATGCATGTCTAATGTGCGTGTGTCTCAGGGAGAGACAGACAGAGACAGAGAAGTGAGAGAAAAAAGAGACAAGGAGAGCAGTTGAGAGAGACAGAAACAGAGAGAGACTTTGACCCTCCACCCCTAAAGCCAAAAGCCAAAAACCGAATTACGATCAGTTTTTGTAGCTCATTGTTTCATATTTTCAAAACCGTCTCACTCCGTTTGTGTGAACATTCGAGAGCTCCCTGCAGCTGCGGATTCCAAGCCAGCTTCACAGTGAGCGTGACTGTATGGAAAGGAAATAGCTTCAACTTTACAAAATTATGACATGTCAATGCCCTCACTTTACCTCCTTTCGTATTATGAAGGCGGATGAGGGAGGTTGTCTACAAATAACGATGCTGTTGAAGTTCTGTTTGCCTTTCTTTAAATATTTTATTTTTGAGAGAGAGAGAGTGCGAGCGAGTGGGGGAGGGGCAGAGAGAGAAGGAGACACAGAATCCGAAGCGGGGCTCCAGGCTGTCAGCTCTCAATACAGAGTCCCACACGGGGCTCAAACCCGTGAACTGCGAGATCATGACCTGAGCCGAAGTCGGACGCTCAACTGCCTGAGCCACCCAGGTGCCCCTTATGTGCCTCTTTTTTTTTTTCCTGAAATGACCATAGTCTTTAAATCAGAAAAGCCAAATTTTAAGTTCTCTCAATTGCTTACCGTAGGCCTAAGTAATAGTAACAGTGGACATAGTTGTCGTTGTTGTTGTTCTTATACTAGTAGTAGCCGTACTAATTACAACAAACATTTATTGACCATATATTATGTGTTGGGCATTCTGTTCAGTGCATTAAATGTTATATGGGTGACCTCATTTAAATTCCAAATTCCTGCAATAATATTATGTGGTAAATACTATTATTATCACTATTTATTCGGTGATTTATTAGATGAAACCAAAGGTAGAGAGGTTAACTCATCCAAAATCACACGGCCAACGTTTGGAAGATGCAGGATCCTAATCAATCTCCTTGCCCCTAATTGTCTCGTGTTCTCCCTCCTACAGAAAAGTGAGCTCCAGCTTTCCTTCCCATGAAATGGAACTGGTTTTACTTTCTCCGTGTAGGTGGTGTTTGGTGGGAGTATTTTGATTTTGATTTTTATCATTATTATTTTTATGGAGTGGGGAGAGGGGAGGGATACTACCAGATACCTGACAGGAAACTGTTCCTTGAAATCCATAAGCTACACGGGTATTTTTGGAACATGTTTTGTAGCAGATAAAAATGCCAGCGTAAGATACAGGTGAAGCATAGAAGAAGATTATGGTCAAATTAACAACTTTCTACTACGTTGGGGAAAAATTAACTACCCAGCATGGCCGAAAGTCCCCTGGCTCCTGTGTTTCTACTTCATCCACTATGAATGGCCTTTTGCTTATTACTCCATTCTAGGTTTACTGGCCTTTTTGACGTTTTGGAAACATTTCAATCTTAGCCACAGCTTGAGAGCTTCACATTCGGGATTATTGGACTCTTTCCCAACAAAGGGTTGGAAAAGTTTTAGTAAAGTCAGATTGGTTGAAAATACTGATGTGCACTCTCTAGGCCCTAGAGGGTGCCAAGGGGTAGCCTGGACAGAGCTTGGATGTGGGGACTGGGGTCCACATCGGGGGAGGCCGCCAGGGGTGTGAGGACAAGGGGAGTTGGGCCCATGGATGAGCTCATGCAGTGGAGGGCCCAGGAAGTGGCCCCATGTGGCCCACATGCCAGTGAAGAACGCCAAGGTGGCCAGGAATTCTAAATTCAAAGCAGGGCCCTCCAGGTTGTTGGGCAAGTTTACTGGTCAAGGTAGAAGGACAGAAAATATTAGATTGCCAGTTTGTTAGCTCAATTTATGACTTGTAAGTATCTAGATAGAGGGCATATGGAATGCCACTTGTACTGTCATCCTGGAGCCCAAAACATGTTAGAGGAGGGCCTACTTGCTATCAGTGCTTCTTCTCAATTTTCACAAAGTAGGTTCCTTTTTTATCCTTCACCTATCTGATGACTGTTGTCTTCAGAAAGGCCATCTCTGACTCCCTTGCCCTACATAGCTTTTCCAGCACAAGCCAGCCCCTCTATTTCTCTCCTCCATTTTATCTATGGCACGTACATATTTGCTTTCTTCTTTATGAGACCTCCCTGCCGGAATGTATGCTCCCTGGAAGGGTGTTGCTTTCACTTCTTCACTGCTGCATTCTTAGTGCCTCGAAACACAAAATAACTATGCCCTAAATACCTGTTGGATGAGAGAATAATGGAATATAGAATATAATGGATAAATGGACCAAGAAAAGTTCTTGATTTCTATGCACTCTTATCTTAATAATAATAAACACAGCTGTATTGTGTCTGGTGCTTTCGTAACGTCCGTGCACAATCCTTTCCCATTTCCTTTGGAGCCAGCTAATGGTAAAGCGAACACCACCGAACAGTTACTGTGAGAAAGGAACAGGAGAGAGAGGTCACAGATATAGGAAAAATTAGTGTGTTTCACATTAAACAAAATTGCAACCCTATTTTATCCCCCCTTCTTCTAGCCCCTTGTGGATCCAAGGCAAAGAAGCAGTGGCAAAGAAGTCAAACCTAATTTCCTCTTGGCCCTACTAGGTGATATTACAGTCAAGGTGCAGCATTTCTTACGTTAATAATCTGAAGTTCCTTTTCTGAGAAAATATACACGTTGTCTGAGGTCTTAAAATTGTTTAGGTATTGTAATCACTCCATAATTATTGGATGTTATTTTAAATGCCTAAAATTATACCTGTGAGATTTAATATTGATATTCCTACGAATTACATTTTGGTAAATACATATCTTTTGAAGGGAGAGAGATTTGGGATTTGGGGTGAGTCTGATCATCTGTTTTTGTCTTCGTTGATATAAAAATCTTCCATTTCAAATCTCTGGAAAAGCATACACATGGAGCAAATGACTCATTAATTTATCCTACAGTCAAAATTAAAGCAGTACATAATTGCCAAATCTTCAATTCTTATAAAACAGAGCTCTGAATATGTACTAATTATCTTCTGTGGAAAGGAAATTCACTGAGATTCAGTTAAGACTGCTTCACGCTCAGTAAGTTAAGTCTATTGTGTTACATACACCAGCTTGCGCATGCTCCCTCCTTCCCTCCAACCCACTCAGCTCCCCTTTCTTCTCCTTTTCAACTGCTGACCTGAGTTAGTAGCCAAACATAATAATACAGTGTTTGATCCTCTGTAAACCCATAAAATTATAAACCAGCAACCACCGGGATGTTGGCAGAATTTCTGTGGACAGCAACCAGCATGGTGCTTTTTTCTTTCTGAAATCAAGCAGTACATTATACTTGTTGATACAACAGTGAGGAAGGTAATGCCTTCCATCATCTCCTGGCCCCTACCTAACTCCTCTAGCCACTTGGGATGGGGTGAGACAATTCATCTATTTAAAAGATTAAAGTCTCCAGGTGCCTGGGGGGCTCAGTCGGTTAAGCATCCGACTCTTGATCTCAGCTTAGATCTTCATCTCGGGGTCATGAGTTCAAGTCCCACATTGGGCTGTGTGCTGGGTGTGGAGCCTACTTACTAAATAAACAAATAAATAAATGAAGTATTAAGGCCTTCTCTCTTTTGACTTTTATTATTTAAAGTCGCTTCCTTTCATTCATTTTTAAATTCATTCTGTCTACTCCTATTAAGCACTGATGGAGTTGTATAGCACTATGCTAAGTACTACAGAGGATTAACATACAAATAAAACACATGCCTTCAAGAATAAAAAAAAAAAATCTAATAGAAACTTCAAACTGCAATGGGGATTAGGAACTCTCTTTTCACTACAACAGAAATATTTGAGTCATCCTATAGGTGAACCCTAAGGAAAGAAAGGAAAATCCCCAGGTTCCAGAAATAAAGAAACAACTCAAGCTAGAGAGATAAGTGTATGAATGAATGACCTAGGAACCTCAGGAACTGTCAGAACAGAGCTAGACCATAGAGACTAGGGACTGAAATTTTCATTCACATACAGGAACAGAAGGGGCTGCATTGAGCTTGAGTTGGATTGAGATTTAGAACTGAGGTCCTTACATCAGGTGGAGACCGGTCTAGCTTTGACCCTTCTTCAAAGGGTGAGCTAGGGTAAGTCCATTCATCGGCCTGTCTATGTGGCAATGAGAATGTACATCTCTGCCCATGGAAGGAGACGATAAAGTCTTCTGTTGGAAATCAAACATCTCAGGCTAACACCACATACTGACATGGAGCAAAATGTATGTTACCTACATGGTGCTTATATCCCTGAGATGAGAAATCAGTGTGAAAGCAGATCACTTGGCCCTTGAAACCCTGGGAACAAAGTGGAGAACAAACTCAAAGCACACAGTTTCACTGAGAAAAAAGACATCCACCTCCGTCAAAGATGCCCTCACAATCCCAAATGGTACACTGCACAATTTTTCAGGTAGGATAAGGAGACAGAAGGGTTTGTATTGAAGACTTGAAATGACAGGATAATGTAAAAATAACATAAGTATGTGTCAAATAATTAAGGATATAAAATGACAATATGAGTAAAAATAGGCAGAATTAGGGAGGGGGGGAAGATCACAATTAAAATATGCAATCAAAGAAGGAACAAATATCACTGGACAAAATGAAGCTGTTGTTGAAATGAGAACCAGTACTCTGGAAAGTAAATGAGGAAATTATCCAGAATGTAGCACAAAGAGACAGGGAAATTAGAATACAAGACATCAAGAGAGAAAATAGGATAGAATAAGAAAGGATAAAAACGTCTAATAAGAATTATAAAAGGAGACACTAGAGATAATAGAAAATAAAAGACATGTAAATTTTCCAGAATTGCTGAGAATCGCTGATTGAATCCTTACATTTTAAAAGCAGACTCTGACCTATGGTTCTCAAAAGAGATTCAGAGAGTTCTGAGTCCAGTAGTGGAATGGACTAATATTCCTGCAGATAACAATTACAAATTGAACAAAATATAAAAAGAACTTTGAAGGCATTGCAGATGGATGGAAAAGAGTACAGAGAGCCACCGGATCTTTGAAAGAAGGAAATTACATGGGGTAAGACCCCCCATTGACAGACCACCGGACATTCCCCATATTAGGAGTCCAAAAAAGCTAGGACTCATCACACTGTATGCAAGAATTAATTCAAGGTAAAGTATGGACATGAATGTAAAAAGTAAATCCCAAACAGCTCTAGAAGGAGGCATAGGAAATTATCTTCTCTACCTTGGAGTAGACGACCCAGGATGCAAAAAAACATTTACTGTGAAAAGAAAAATAATAATTGACCAATTGGACTTCACCAAAAGAAAAACATGTTCTCTTCAGACAACACCAGGAAAAAAAAAATGAAAAGACAAGCCACAGCTCAGGAGAAAACACTTATAATTCATTTATATGACAGAAAGCACTATACACAGAATATACAAGGAACTGTTTACATCTATACAGATTTTTTTCTCTTCTGTCTTATGTTAGTAATGGTGGTCTGTGTCTTCCAAGGAATTTTTCCCTTTCATTTAAGTTGTCAGATTTATTGCCATCAAGGTGTCCATGATTTTCCTTTGCTTTCAACAACTGTACAACAGAATTTGCTAGAGCACATAAGGATACTCTATGCTGGACCCACCCAAACTGAATATTATGTGTGGTGTCATAAAGTTAGTTTTAATAACGTTCAAAGGTGTGAAACCACACATTATATGTTCTGTGGCCACAATTAAACCAAATGAAAGCAATAATAAAATATGTAGAGATTCAGAATAATCAAAATATTTAGTAATTAATTAATCAACGGTCTTCTAAGTAGCCCATGAATCCAATTAAAAAACAAAAAAAGAGAAAGGACATTAGAAAATATCTTGAAATGATTGTCAAGAAAACATAACAAAAATTGACAGGTATAGCTAAAGAAGTTCTTGGAGAGGAATGAATACCTTGAAATACTTAAAATCAATGTATAAACATTAAAATGTTTAAAATCAATCATCTGGCTTCGAGCCTAAGAATCTAGAAAATCAAGGGGCACCTGGCTGGCTCAGTCAGTAGAGCGTGCAACTCTTGATCTTGGGGTTGTGAGTTCGAGCCCCACATTGGCAGTAAAGATACAAAGATTCTGCAAAAAAAAAAAGAATCTAAAAAAACAAGGACAAATACAACACCAGGTAAATGGAATAAAGGAAATAACTAATATAAGGATAAAGATCAATGAAATAGAAAAAGAGAGAAAATACACAAATCCAAAAGTTGGCTCTTTGAAAAATGTAATAAAATCAATAAACCTCTACTAACCATATATCTATTAAAAAACTGATGTCTTAATCAAACATATTGCCATAAAGAAATCTCCAGGCTTAAGTCATTTTACTTATCAATGCTGAATAGAGAATTATTCTATGTTCTTCCATGGGAAGACTCAAGATTGTTAAAATGTCAATTTTCCACTCACTTGATTCATAGATTTCAATGCTATCCCAACATACATCCCAGTAGATTTTTCTGAGAAACTGAAAAACTGATTCTAAAATTTATATGGGCATGAAAAGAACCTAGAATAATAAACAAAAAAAGGGTAGTGGTGAGGAAAAAAGAGAAAAAAAATAAGTTCAAATATTTAAATAACCTCATTTTACATTATTCTTTAAAGCTACAATGATTCAATGTGTTATTGGCACGAGGACAAATCAATTAACAGAACAGAAAGTCCAAACAGATCCATATACACAGTTGATTGATTTTTCTACAAAAAAGCCCAGGTAATTCATTGGAGGAAAAAATGCTCCTTCCCATGAATTATGCTGAAACAATCAACTATCTACGTAAAAGGAGAAAGAGAGAGAGAGAGAGAAGCCTAAGCCTTCCTTCACATCAGATACAAAAATAAGTCAAAATTGATCACATATGGTCTTATGGTTACGTCCTCCACAGATACTGTCTTTTGTCACCTTCTAATGCTGACCTACCATTCATCTCTATCTCATGACATTTCATGCCTTGTAAAACTATTCTATCACCCACTAGATACACTATGCATTTCTTGCCCTGCTCTATTTAAAAAACCTTTCCTTCCCTTCACTATCTTCCAATTTCCTTGGGCAGACCAAGCAACCTTCTCTATTCCCATAGTATTTTTGTGAATATTTTAAACTGTAGTTTAAAATCACACTCTATCTTAATCACTGCTTCTCTGCTTCTCTTTTCTGATAGAATTTGAGCTTACCATCAGCAAAATCTAAATCTTACTTACAATGACAATCCTGAGTATAGTGCAGGGGTCATAATCAGTACCCAAAACGTGTCGCACAAGTTAATTACAGAAGAATGAATTAGGAAACAGAAATCCTTTTATTGTCCTGGAGGCATCTCATCCTCAGAGTCAAAAACGTCTCTTTGCCATTAACTTTGAAGATCAGAATCACTGAGATGTTTTCATGGATGAAGGTCTTTAGAAGTTTAGTTTTATCATGGAAAGGAGAAGGCAATTAACATCTATTTTACCTTCTATAGGCAAGTCATTGTGCTAGAGGACTGACATACATTAATCTCATTTAATCCTTAACCACCGGTTCAGATATTAGTAGCTTCAAAATTGTTGAGTGAATTAGATTAGGTTTGGCCTTAAGTAACAGAAGGTGGCTTGAATAATCATCAGCTCAAGATCCTTCAGTCTTGCTACAATACAGTTCTCTACACCTTTGTCCAAGATAATTGGTCCAGTCCAGAAGGAAGGAAAAGAGAAGAGAAAAAGAATAGAGCCCTTCCTTAGGAATGCAAACTGGTGCAGCCACTCTGGAAAACAGTACGGAGGTCCCTCAGAAAATTAAAAATAGAACTACCCTATGACCTGGCAATTGCACTACTAGGTATTTATCCAAAGGATACAGGAGTGCTGATTCGAAGGGGAACATGCACCCCAATGTTTATAGCAGCACTATCAACAATAGCAAAAGTATGGAAAGAGCCCAAGCATCCATCGATAGGTCAATGGATAAAGAAGATGTGGTATATATGTACAATGGAGTATTACTTGGCAATCAAAAAGAATGAAATCTTGCCATTTGCAACAGTGTGGATGGAACTAGACTGTATTATGTTAAGCAAAATAAGGCAGTCAGAGAAAGACAAATATCATATCATTTCACTCATATGCGGACTTTAAGATAAAAACAGATGAACATAAGGGAAGGGAAGAAAAAATAATATAAAAATAGGGAAGGACACAAACCATGAGTCTCTTAAATACAGAGAATAAACGGAGGGTTGCTGGTGGGGTGTTGGGTTGGGGGTTAGGCTAAATGGGCAAGGCGCATTAAGGAGGGCACTTGTTGAGATGAGCACCGGGTGTTACATGTAAGTGATAAGTCACTAAATTCTATACCTGAAATCATTATTACACCATATGTTAACTAACCTGGATTTAAAAGTAAATAAACAAATAAATAAATACATACATACATACATAC